TGGCCTAAATCACAGCCAAAACTACTGAGAACGTCATACTACGGCACAACTGCAAATCTCCTGACCTGTTTTGCAGTAAATGCAGAGTTCCTGTATCTCAGTATAGTAAAATAGCTAAAATAGTCAAATGAACACTGTACTGTAGGCCTAAATATCATAACACTTGCTTTAGTGAGGAAATGACCAGCTCACATTCAGCCAATAACGGTTGACACAGGCCCATTAAGGCTGATCTTGTTAGTGTCAAAGCTAACAACAGCATAATGGAAAATAAGAAATAAGAGAGAGAGAGAGAGAGAGCGAGAGAGAGAGAGAGAGAGCTAATGCTTCATATTTGACTGTGAGGCTGTGGCTGTGTCAGGTTTTGGGTGTCAGTAGGACTGGCTGTGTGTCGGGGGGGGGGGGGGGGGGGGGGGGGGTGTAATAAAGCCCTTTTGTGGGGAAAACTCATTTTGATTGGCTGGACCTGGCTTCCCAGTGGGGAAGTACATTTCTATAGGCTCAACAATGACTGACACTTCATAGACTTCTGTCAGGTATACACATTGCATATTTATTGCCAGTTTGAGTACAATACAAAAATATTGGTTAAATAAAAGCTCTGTGTTGAAACATTTTAAGCATTTAGTTCATTTCAAAATATAGTAATAAAATAGAGTATATATTGTACCGTTTTACAAAAGCTTTGAATCTTCATTCCTGCCGGCATGTATGTTTAAAAGCCCATAAAAAAAAAAAAGTATATACTCATTTGCATAACACACTATTCCAATCTACGCTAATTACATTTTGAATACATTAATAGATTTATCAGAGCACTCAGTAAAGCTACTCCTGCCCATAACACACTGCAGAAGCATCTAATTAGGGGTTGGAAAATTCTAGTAACTTTCCAAATATTCCCAGGTTTTTCCAGAAATCCCGGTTGGTAGGTTGCCGGAATCAGTAAGGAATAAGCCAGAAATCCGTAATCCTCCAAGGATTTTTGGAAAACCTGGGAATTTTGTGCGTTACCGGAACTTTGCAACCCTAAATCTGTTACAGTACTTTATAATATTCCGACCTAGCCTGGTTGCCAGTGTCTATTTACCTAACATTCCACTCCTTGTAGGCTACTCCTTACATTTTTTATATTTTAGTCATTTAGCAGACACTCTTATCCAGAGCGACTTACAGTTAGTGAGTGCATACATTTTTCATACTCTTGTCAAGGAGTGTAATGTCAGCTATAAAGACTGGCAACCAGGCTAACTCTGACCTTCATCCTCCAACACTATCCTTCTCCTATCCTTGATTCCCTGATCCTTTCAAGAGGAGCACTTCTTTAGAAGGTTCTTTTGAAAGTCCATATGGATGTTCCATATGTATGACTACACACATACAGTTCATGGCTGGCTATGCATTTGAACCTGCATCGATTGTAAAAGGATGTATACGTGTCTTGCTCACTATAGCAGTGCAAGAAGCAGAGTTTTTGTCAGTTAGACCTACTGTAGCTATTGCTACTCAAAATAATGCAGAATATCACTCTATGGTATAAGTATGGTGATTTTTGGTGCTATATATATATATATATATATATATATATATTGTATTTTACATTTAAGTTTAACGTTCTCCCATTTAAAAGCCTCTTAAGAGCTAGATATGTTGAATAAATATATTAAAGAAGCACATTGCATAACTTGATTATTGATAACAGTAGACTGGTATAACTAGTCCAGCACACACTCAACTGTAATACTATGTATGCCTTCAATACTGCTTTGTACAAGCACTTTTCCTTCGATTTTTCCTTAAGAATAAAGTTGTTCAGTCATTTAACGTTCACGATGACAGACGAAGACAGCCCTCTGAGACCTTCACAGACGGCGAGAACAGACACACAGATTGTGCTTCAACATTCTGAGACGAGACAGGCTTCAGTCGAACTAACACATGCTCTCCCTCACTCCCAACAAAAGCTAACAGTTCAACTTTAATCAAATTTTAAACATCGGCAAACTATTTGTGGGTTATAATATCGTAAAGCCGTAACAAAGACCAGGGCTTTGTGATAGGACACCAATAGAATAACTGGATTTAGTCTCCATTTCCCTAGCAAACCTCAGGTCAGTCAAACACACGTAAAAGGGACAAATAGAAAAATGAGTGAATGAGAGAAGTCCACACTGGACCGCAAGGTCTGTGGGAGTGGGGGAGGGAGGGGGGAGGAGGGAGATGGTGGAAAGAGAGAGGAGGAAGAAAGAGAGAGGGGGGATAGAAAGAGAAAGCAAGAGTGAGAGAGAGAGGGAAAGAAGTAAAGGTTGAGAGGTTCATTGAGTCGTTTTAAGAGTCTGCTCAAAAAAGGACACTCTCCCATTACAGCGGCTATTTCCATCTTATAATCTGGGCCCTGCTGAACATTACGTATAAAAACCAAAGTAAACTTAGCATCTAGAGCACTCTGTGGTCCAAGAAAACGTCAGGGGCCATAGTAGAAGGCTTTATAATTGCTATATTCACCAAACGGTTTAACTGTGCCAAGGGATCATTACGAAAGTGTTCAAATATAGCATAGCACCTTGAGAAAAGAAAAAGCATATTGTTCAAACATGCATACCTACAGTACAGTACAAGTATGACGTATTTGGACAGTCAAAAGTGGGACATCCTGTTTACCATTACTGCCTGGCTTGCTTGCTTCATCATCAGTATCTGTTAGATTTGAGTTGACTCATGATATTGTGTTTTGGGGGGACGTGAGAACATCCTACATCTAGAATGTTTACTATTCCTGATCATTGAAGTCAGTGCTAGGCTGTCATTAACACAGCTCTACAATAAGGGTACCTCACGCAAAAGGCATTACGTACAGTCGTGGTCAAAAGTTTTGAGAATGACACAAGTATTGGTCATCACAAAGTTTGCTGCTTCAGTGTTTTTATATATTTTTGTCAGATGTTACTATGGTATACTGAAGTATAATTACAATCATTCCATAAGTGTCAAAGGCTTTTATTGACAATTACATTAAGTTTATGCAAAGAGTCAATATTTGCAGTGTTGACCCTTCTTTTTCAAGACCTCTGCAATCCGCCCTGGCATGCTGTCAATTAACTTCTGGGCCACATCCTGACTGATGGCAGCCCATTCTTGCATTATCAATGCTTGGAGTTTGTCAGAATTTGTGGGGTTTTGTTTGTCCACCCGCCTCTTGAGGATTGACCACAAGTTCTCAATGAGATTAAGGTCTGGGGAGTTTCCTGGCCATGGACCCAAAATGTCGATTTTTTGTTCCCCAAGCCACTTAGTTATCACTTTTTGCCTTATGGCAAGGTGCTCCATCATGCTGGAAAAAGGCATTGTTTGTCAACAAACTGTTCTTGGATGGTTGGGAGAAGTTGCTGTCGGAGGATGTGTTGGTACCATTCTTTATTCATGGCTGTGTTCTTAGGCAAAATTGTGAGTGAGCCCACTCCCTTGGCTGAGAAGCAACCCCACACATGAATGGTCTCAGGATGCTTTACTGTTGGCATGACACAGGTCTGATGGTAGCGCTCACCTTGTCTTCTCCGGACAAGCTTTTTTCCGGATGCCCCAAACAATCGGAAAGGGGATTCATCAGAGAAAATGACTTTACCCCAGTCCTCAGCAGTCCAATCCCTGTACCTTTTGCAGAATATCAGTCTGTCCCTGATGTTTTTCCTGGAGAGAAGTGGCTTCCTCGCTGCCCTTCTTGACACCAGGCCATCCTCCAAAAGTCTTCGCCTCACTGTGCGTGCAGATGCACTCACACCTGCCTGCTGCCATTCCTGAGCAAGCTCTGCACTGGTGGTGCCCCGATCCCGCAGCTGAATCAACATTAGGAGACGGTCCTGGCGCTTGCTGGACTTTCTTGGGCGCCCTGAAGCCAGCTTCACAACAATTGAACCTCTCTCCTTGAAGTTCTTGATGATCCGATAAATGGTTGATTTATTTGCAATCTTACTAGCAGCAATATCCTTGCCTGTGAAGCTCTTTTTGTACAAAGCAATGATCACGGCATGTGTTTCCTTACAGGTAACCATGGTTAACAGAGGAAGAACAAGATTTCAAGCACCACCCTCCTTTTAAAGCTTCCAGTCTGTTATTCTACCTCAATCAGCATAACAGAGTGATCTCCAGCCTTGTCCTCGTCAACACTCTCACCTGTGTTAACGAGAGAATCACTGACATGATGTCAGCTGGTCATTTTGTGGCAGGGCTGAAATGCAGTGGAAAAGTTTTTTTGGGATTAAGTTCATTTTCATGGCAAAGAGGGACTTTGCAATTAATTGCAATTCATCTGATCACTCTTTATAACATTCTGGAGTATATGCAAATTGCCATCATAAAAACTGAGGCAGCAGACTTTGTGAAAATTAATATTTGTGTCATTCTCAAAACATTTGACCACGACTGTACAGGTTAAAAATAAAGCTTTAAAAACATCTTACAATCATGCAAATAGGAAAAAAAGCATAACGTAATTTGTGAGGGTTAAAAGCAGTTTAAAAGTATTATCCACATCCACACCAGTCTTTAAAACGCTAGTAAGCCATGATAGGTATTTTTGGTATATGATCGATCATACGCAGTTATTTTCTAAGACCATGTAAGCATAATTTCACCCTTTAAATAAAGGCAATAAAAATCCACCTCCTTATCCCACATCATCTCCGCTCTCTACTCCAACAACTGTTTGGTGGCCATGAGCTACCGTGGTACTGTGAATAGGAGTGTGGAGCGCTCTGCGGATGGATGGATGGATGGATAGAAGTGCTGCCTGCCTGAGTGATAGGGGAGCTGAATTGGCCTGACCATGTGAGTTGCAGAATGGAGAACAGCTTGAATCAAAAGGAACAGGTGGAAACAGCTGAGGTCACCAACCCACACATACAGCAGAAACGCACTCACACACTAACTGACCCAAACTAACACACACACAGAATGGATCGAGGGTGAAGCGGAATGGACTTCATAATCCTATATCTCCTCTCCTATGTGGGTGGAGGTCCGTCGTAGCGGAGCATGATGTTGAAGGAGCGGGCAAAGTTGTTGGACAGAGAGCAGCTGGAGCCTTCGTCCATCCAGGGCAGGAAGAATGCGAAGAGGAGTAGAGCCAACAGCAGGAGCCAGAGGGGCAGGGCCACCCAACACACACGGTACAGCAGGCCTGGAGTCTTCTTCTGCAGGGAGTCAATATAGAGAGGTTAAACACACATACTGTTTATATACACACACACACACACACCTAGTCAATTACACAAACACACTCCCAAACAACACTAGTGTGTACAACAAACACATTTTAATTCACGTAATTCAACCCGTCAATTTTTGGGGGGTAAACAGCTGGGCGTGAGAAATGTAACCACTCTCTAATTCATAGACAGAGCTATGGATGCAAGGACTGACCATCCATGAGATGAACATGATGGTCCCTTTAAAGGGAGTGTTATACTGAGTCACTTCAACATGAGTCACACAGTAGGGTCACACAGTAGGGTCGATGTTAGCTAGCTAGGTAAACAACATAGAAAAGGCTCACAGCCCTCTCAATACAATCAGGGTTGGGATGACACACACACACAGAGCGTTCTTCCAAGTGAAGCGAGTAAATCCTCACCCACTCACTCATGTTCACTACCTCAACAAGACTGCTCCATCAACCACCAATACTTTGCTGTGAGTGACACTACAGTTTTTCTTTCATCTGTGTCTGCTGTTGTTTTTCTCATAACAACAACCTGGGGGTAATCTCAGTTAACTAGCCTCCTTATTTTTAGCCAGCCATGCACCTGCTGCGTTCACAGCTCACTGATAGAGACGGAGAGAGAGAAAAAAGAGAGAGAGAGACAGTGAGAGAACAGTTCTACATTTCGCCCCAAATGGTTGAGGAAAGGATTGTAGAATGGTATACTGATCCTAGACCTGTGCCAACAGGCAACTTCTGCCTAGAGCAGAGAGAATTGGGAACAGGCTGTCCACTTGCTTAGCCATCAACAGATGGAGAGGAGGTGTGAAAACAAGACTCCAGATACAAGTTGCCCTTAAAGTGACCTTACAACAATGGCTAAGGCAACATCTACCTACACCAAAACATGGAGCAAATCCTCTGGAATTTAGTATAATGTCCAGGGCTCCCACACTGTGGGGATCTGAGGGGGTGAGGGAGGGGCTCCTCTCAACCCCTGAAAGAAAGAAAGAAAGAAAGAAAGAAAGACAGACAGACAGACAGACAGACAGACAGACAGACAGACAGACAGACAGACAGAACAGACCAGACAGACAGACAGACAGACAGACAGACAGACAGACAGACAGACAGACAGACAGACAGACAGACAGACAGACAGACGACAGACAGACAGACAGACAGACGACAGACAGACAGACAGACAGACAGACAGACAGACAGACAACAGACAGACAGACAGACAGACAGACAGACAGACAACAGACAGACAGACAGACAGACAGACAGACAGACAGACAGACAGACAGACAGACAGACAGACAGACAGACAGACAGACAGACAGACAGACAGACAGACAGACAGACAGGACAGACAGACAGACAGACAGACAGACAGACAGACAGACAGACAGACAGACAGACAGACAGACAGACAGACAGACAGACAGACAGACAGACAGACAGACAGACAGACAGACAGACAGACAGACAGACAGACAGACAGACAGACAGACAGACAGACAGACAGACAGACAGACAGACAGACAGACAGACAGACAGACAGACAGACAGACAGACAGACAGACAGACAGACAGACAGACAGACAGACAGACAGACAGACAGACAGACAGACAGACAGACAGACAGACAGACAGACAGACAGACAGACAGACAGACAGACAGACAGACAGACAGACAGACAGACAGACAGACAGACAGACAGACAGACAGACAGACAGACAGACAGACAGACAGACAGACAGACAGACAGACAGACAGACAGACAGACAGACAGACAGACAGACAGACAGACAGACGACAGACAGACAGACAGACAGACAGACAGACAGACAGACAGACAGACAGACAGACAGACAGACAGACAGACAGACAGACAGACAGACAGACAGACAGACAGACAGACAGACAGACAGACAGACAGACAGACAGACAGACAGACAGACAGACAGACAGACAGACAGGACAGACAGACAGACAGACAGACAGACAGACAGACAGACAGACAGACAGACAGACGACAGACAGACAGACAGACAGACAGACAGACAGACAGACAGACAGACAGACAGACAGACAGACAGACAGACAGACAGACAGACAGACAGACAGACAGACAGACAGACAGACAGACAGACAGACAGACAGACAGACAGACAGACAGACAGACAGACGACAGACAGACAGACAGACAGACAGGACAGACAGACAGACAGACAGACAGACAGACAGAAGACAGACAGACAGACAGACAGACAGACAGACAGACAGACAGACAGACAGACAGACAGACAGACAGACAGACAGACAGACAGAAAGAAAGAAAGAAAAATCTGAAGCACTCTGCCTCACCCTCCTAGAATCTGAAGTCAAATGTCTACTGTTTGCTGATGGTCTGGTGCTTCTATCAACAACCAAGGAGGACCTACAGCAGCACCTTCTGCACAGATTCTGTCAGAACTGGGCCCTGACAGTAAATCTCAGTAAGACAAAAATAATGGTGTTCCAAAAAAGGTCCAGTTGCCAGGACCACAAATACAAATTCCATTTAGACACCGTTGCCCTAGAGCACACAAAAAACTATACATACCTCGGCCTAAACATGTAACTTCCACAAAGCTGTGAACGATCTGAGAGGCAAGGCAAGAAGGGCCTTCTATGCCATCAAAAGGAACATAAAATTCGACATACCAATTAGGATCTGGCTAAAAATACTTGAATCAGTTATAGAACCCATTGCCCTTTATGGTTATGAGTTCTGGGGTCCGCTTATCAACCAAGAATTCACAAAATGGGACAAACACCAAATTGAGACTCTGCATGCAGAATTCTGCAAAAATATCCTCCGCGTACAACGTAAAACACAAAATAATGCATGCTGAGCAGAATTAGGACTATACCCGGTAATTATCAAAATCCAGAAAAGAGCTGTTAAATTCTACAACCACCTAAAAAGGAAGCAATGCCCACATTCCACAACAAAGCCCTCACCTATGGAGATACTGTATAAACCTAGAGAAGAGTCCCCTCAGCCAGCTGGTTCTGGGGCTCTGTTCACAAACACAAACAGACCCCACAGAGCCCCAGGACAGAAACACATTTAGACCCAACCAAATTATGAGAAAGAAAAAAGATAACTATTTGACACACTGGAAGGGATCAACCAAATAACAGAGCAAATTGGAATGCTATCTGGCCCAAAACAGAGAGTACACAGTGGCAGAATACCTGACCACTGTGACCCCAAATTAAGAAAATCCTTAACTATGTACAGACTCAGTGAGTATAGCCTTGCTATTGAGAGAGGACGCCATAGCCTGTCTTCTCTTGAGAGCCAGGTCTGCCTATGTGCCCACTGCCCACAAAATGAGGTGGAAACTGAGCTGTACTTCCTAACCTCCTGCCAAATGTATGACCATATTAGAGACACATATTTCCCTCAGATTACAGACCCACAAAGAATTTGAAAACAAATCAAACATTGATAAACTCCCATATCTGTTAGGTGAAATACCAGTGTGCAATTAAAGCCGCAAGATTTGTGGCACATTGCCATGAGAAAAGGGCAACCGGTGGAGCACAAACAACATTGTAAATACAACCTATATTTCTCTGTTAATTTATTTTTCCTTTCATAGTGCAACTACCTTCACATTGTTACAACACTGTACATAGCCAATAACATAACATTTGAAATGTCTATATTCTTAAAACTTCTGTGTTTAAAGTTGACTAATGTTTCCCTTGTTTATTTCCCTTTTGTTTATTGTCTATTCAATTTGCTTTGGCAATGTAAACATATGTTTCCCATGCCAATAAAGCCCTTTGAATTGAACTTGAGTTGAGAGAGAGACAGAGAGGCCATCATTGTAAACGAGAATATGTTCTTAATTGAATGACCTAGTTAAATAAAGGTTAAATAAAAGTAAAACAAAAAAGGAGAGAGAGAGAGAAAGAGAGAGAGGGGGATCTGAGGGGGCGAGGAAAAAAAGTGAGGGGGCATGGCATTTCTTAATCTCCTCTCCACCCTACTGGGTTTCCGAATTAACTGGGGTTTGTTGGAGACGGCACACTTGACTTGGTGTCAGTCCTGAGTGGTCAGACCTATTGCCCATAGAGCTGTGTTCACTAAAGCCCAGAGGAGTGGGGAGGCTCAAAGGCTCCACTGAAGGGGGACTGTTGCTGCTTTTATCGTTTTTAAACTCTCTGGAGCAGTCCCATCCGTACATATTTTGTTTGTTTATAGGACAAAGACAGAAAGGAAAGAGTGGAGAGAGAGGAGAGAGTGTGCTGATACAAACCCATGCTGTAGTGATACAGTGGGGAGAACAAGTATTTGATACACTGCCGATTTTGCAGGTTTTCCTACTTACAAAGCATGTAGAGGTCTGTAATTTTTATCTAGGTACACTTCAACTGTGAGAGACGGAATCTAAAACAAAAATCCAGAAAATCACATTGTATGATTTTTAAGTAATTAATTTGCATTTTATTGCATGACATAAGTATTTGATCACCTACCAACCAGTAAGAATTCCGTCTCTCACAGACCTGTTAGTTTTTCTTTAAGAAGCCCTCCTGTTCTCCACTCATTACCTGTATTAACTGCACCTGTTTGAACTCGTTACCTGTATAAAAGACACCTGTCCACACACTCAATCAAACAGACTCCAACCTCTCCACAATGGCCAAGACCAGAGCGCTGTATAAGGACATCAGGGTTAAAATTGTAGACCTGCACAAGGCTGGGATGGGCTACAGGACAATAGGCAAGCAGCTTGGTGAGAAGGCAACAACTGTTGGCGCAATTATTAGATAATGGAAGAAGTTCAAGATGACGGTCAATCACCCTTGGTCTGGGGCTCCATGCAAGATCTCACCTCGTGGGGCATCAATGATCATGAGGAAGGTGAGGGATCAGCCCAGAACTACATGGCAGGACCTGGTCAATGACCTGAAGAGAGCTGGGACCACAGTCTCAAAGAAAACCATTAGTAACACACTACGCCGTCATGGATTAAAATCCTGCAGCGCACGCAAGGTCCTGATGGAGGTGGAAAAATCATTCTTTGGGGATGCTTTTCTGCAAAGGGGACAGGACGACTGCACCGTATTGAGGGGAGGATGGAAGGGGCCATGTATCGCGAGATCTTGGCCAACAACCTCATTCCCTCAGTAAGAGCATTGAAGATGGGTCGTGGCTGGGTCTTCCAGCATGACAACGACCCGAAACACACAGCCAGGGCAACTAAGGAGTGGCTCCGTAAGAAGCATCTCAAGGTCCTGGAGTGGCCTAGCCAGTCTCCAGACCTGAACCCAATAGAAAATCTTTGGAGGGAGCTGAAAGTCCGTATTGCCCAGCGACAGCCCCGAAACCTGAAGGATCTGGAGAAGGTCTGTATGGAGGAGTGGGCCAAAATCCCTGCTGCAGTGTGTGCAAACCTGGTCAAGACCTACAGGAAACATATGATCTCTGTAATTGCAAACAAAGGTTTCTGTACCAAATATGAAGTTCTGCTTTTCTGATGTATCAAATACTTATGTCATGCAATAAAATGCAAATTAATTACTTAAAAATCATATAATGTGATTTTCTGGATTTTCTGATTCTGTCTCTCACAGTTGAAGTGTACCTATGATAAAAATTACAGACATCTACATGCTTTGTAAGTCGGAAAACCTGAAAAATCGGCAGTGTATCAAATACTTGTTCTCCCCACTGTATATGCATTTCATAGGCTGCGCTTAGACCACTGGACCACCCCAGGCCACACGACTTTCCAGTTTGAACTACACTGAATATGAAAGGAATGTTTGACCAAGACAAAAGCATTGACACCGATTATTAACTGTACCTTAGCTGTCCTGGTGTGTTCCTCTCGTCCAACAGCACCCTGCTGGAAATAAACCAAGAAAACATACAAGTCAATATACTGCATGTGCTTTATACAGTACAGTTCAGTCAGACCATTACCTAACATTGATGATACACTGTTACCTTGTGGTAGACCAGGGAGGAGGCTCAACTTGCTGTTGAGAGTTAGAATAATAGAATACACAAGGTGCAATTTCGAAATATGGTTGTGCATCAGCAGTCAATCAATTAGCCCATGTCAGCAAAAACATTTTTAGATTGGTAAGTTAGTCTAGCGGCCAGCTATCTAAACTTGTAGTCAGCATGGTGGAATTACCGACCGGGGTGGGGCCCATTGATCATCAGTTATCATATTAAAAACGGCAAACATTTGCCTCCACCCATATGGCAAAATGTGTAGAATTGCAGGAAATTTGTTAGAAAACTACAGCCGCAAGATTTGTGGCCCATTGCCATGAGAAAAGGGCAACCAGTGGAGCACAAACAACATTGTAAATACAACCTATATTTGCAAGGTGGGTGGGGGAGGGTATGCAGAGCCAGCCCTCATGATGAGTTCTGTTTTTTTGTGGCCCCCAACCCATCAAAGATGCCCATCCCTGTGGTAGACCAATGTATCGTCTCTTTATTATGGGATACTCTTTAACGCCCTCTACTGGATGTACATTTTACACTGCACCCGATTCCCTATATAGTGCACTACTTTTGTCCAGAGCTACAGTATATTCAGGGTTTGTTTCGTCACAATATTGTTTTGAACGTTCGTTCTGGACTGATGGCCAACTGAGCATTCTACTCAATGCATCGTCAATGAGCGCTGATGAAAATTTCATCAAAAGTACATTACAGTGGTTTAGAAATACAATGCCATTCAAAGGGAGGCAAATAATTAGTAGGAAAACCTTTTGTCATCATTTTGATGTCGCCAGATTGACTTCAGATGCAGTATAACGTTAGCTAGTTAGCTACGATTGAGGGGAGGACGCTGGTTTTTAGCTAACTACCGTTAGCATTGCTAGCTATTTTTGACAAACTTTGCTAGCTAATGACAACATTGCCATTTGTCTAAAGTAAATTTGACGACATGATAATGCTGGCAAAGTTGTTTCCTACTAAACATTTGACTACTTCAGCAATGTAATCGTATTTCCAGGCAGTCGTTAGCCTCCGTCCAGAATGACTGGGCTTATCATGACTTTAGGGCACCACAATTACGCCACGCGACCGAGTGACCGAGCTGCAACCTATGAATAGGTCCTGGTCAACAATAGTGCACTATAAAGGGAATAGGGTGCCATTTTAGAGGCACAATACAATTTGCACAGTATCGTTTACCTTGACATTCAACAGGGCCTTGAGGTCTCCAACGTCCTTCAGTTTGGACTTGTAGATCATCCAGCGATAACGTATCTCCTCCATGCCCACATCCTCAGCCCCACGGTCAGCCCTGGCCCCGGCTACAGCCCAAGGCATCAGCAGTAGCTGGAACTGCTCCTGACCCCAGTCCACACTGGACCGCAAGGTCTGTGGGAGGGGGGGGGGGGGGGGGGGGGGGGGGGGGGGGGGAGGGGGGAAATGGTGGAAAGAGAGAGCGAGGAAGAGAGAGGAGGAGAGGGGGGGATAGAAAGAGAGGGCGAGAGAGAGGAGGAGAGAGAAAGGGGGAAGAGAGAAGGGGAGTGAACAACAGAGGGATGGAGAATGAGGAAGCCTGAACTGTTGCATTTGGCTGAGGGATAAGCAGGGAAATTGCTGCATCATGTAATAACAATAAGCAATGTGTCAGTGAGTAATGTCTACACAGGATCTTTGCACAGGAGAATACATGCCACAGTAAATCCTGAAGGAATAATCCTTCATCTCTAATGAAACACACACACAGTATATCCCCAATCAAACATCTCCAATCCCTGTCTGCCTTGAATCAATGTCCACTGTCTGCTGACTGAATTTGAAGCGTGCTCTGTGTTCCCATACTAACAGATACATCTTAACCACTAACATGGCCTGCTAGCGCCCCAAATAGCACCCTATTCCCTATATAGTGCACTTCTTTTGACCACAGTAAGGTAAAGTTAGTCTTCTAGAGGAAGGCCATAGCCTCACTGTAAGGTAAAGTTAGTCTTCTAGAGGAAGACCAGAGCCTCGCTGTAAGGTAAAGTTAGTCTTCTAGAGGAAGGCCAGAGCCTCACTGTAAGGTAAAGTTAGTCTTCTAGAGGAAGGCCAGAGCCTCGCTGTAAGGTAAAGTTAGTCTTCTAGAGGAAGGCCATAGCCTCACTGTAAGGTAAAGTTAGTCTTCTAGAGGAAGGCCAGAGCCTCACTGTAAGGTAAAGTTAGTCTTCTAGAGGAAGGCCAGAGCCTCACTGTAAGGTAAAGTTAGTCTTCTAGAGGAAGGCCAGAGCCTCGCTGTAAGGTAAAGTTAGTCTTCTAGAGGAAGGCCAGAGCCTCGCTGTAAGGTAAATTTAGTCTTCTAGAGGAAGGCCAGAGCCTCACTGTAAGGTAAAGTTCGTCTTCTAGAGGAAGGCCAGAGCCTCGCTGTAAGGTATATTTCTACCATCTTAGGGCTTTGTTTGGTACACTCTGAACAGAATGTCCTACAGATGAAATACACATTTTTAATGAAGTTCTCATGTAGCACGCATATTACTTCGAAAATAACTTGTTTTAAGCAATCTCTAACCATAAGACGGCCACAGACCTAGAGTAACTTGTCATTTTTGTGTGAATATAAACAGGAATGGAATACTGGAATACTGAAAATGCAATACTGTATATTTCTGAGAGGAAACATCAGCACCAACCATGAGTGTGTTCTGCCTGATCTTGAGTTCTTTGGTGCTCAACGGTCCCTCTGTGTTGAGAATCCCTGAGAGTGTATCGTTCTCCTTTCGTAGCCAGGCCTCAAACTCCCTCCTCCTGTCCTCATAGTCCCCTACACTCAGGGTTTCCCCAACACTTGCCTGAAGGACCCCAACAACAACATAATCAGCAACAACATCAACAACAACTTACTGTAGGTGATATTTCACAAAGAAGGATCAGTTAGCTAATTTTCTTAATGTTTCAGTTTATAACGGTAGTTGAATATGGGTTACAGAGTATTGAGAGACGAGTCAATTATAGTATGGCCATTTAAAGTTTATCTTCCTTTATGAACTAGAAAATGTGATTATTATGGTTGGAGTTAATAGAATCAGTGGAGAAACCATACCGTGGTGTGGTGACATGAGCCCTGTAGCCCTCCAGAGGTTTTTCTAGCAGAGCCTTGCTGGGATGACAGAGTGTAACCCTCCATGACTGAATCTTCCATCCTGGTCTTGATAGATGGGAAGGAGCCTCTGTGTCGCAGGTGTCCCCCTCCCCCTCCACTGTGGTCTCTCATTTCACCTGTTCCCTCTTCGTAGTTGCCTCTGCTGCCGTGTCCTAGCCCTGAGCCTGACCCTAACCCAATGTCTACCTCCATGGCCAGGGGTTCAGCCATCCCTCTGGACCTCTGCTCGTCCACCCACTCCTCTGTCCGCCCGCTACTGCTGGACCCAGACACCCCCACCACAACACTACCCCTGGAGCCAGAACCGCTAACCCTGGAGCCAGAGTCCCCCACTAAACCGTTAACCCTGGAGCCAGAGTCCCCCACTAACCCGCTAACCCTGGAGCCAGAACCGCTAACCCTGGAGCCAGAGTCCCCCACTAAATCGTTAACCCTGGAGCCAGAGTCCCCCACTAACCCACTAACCCTGGAGCCAGAGTCCCCCACTAACCCACTAACCCTGGAGCCAGAACCGCTAACCCTGGAGCCAGAGTCCCCCACTAACCCGCTACTCCTGGACCCAGAGCCCCCCACCACCACCCCTCCTCCTCCACCCTGGGTGCTTCTGCCTCCTGTGTGGCCTGATGTCATCCCTGTGGTTCCCTCTCTGGTCTCCTCTCCTCCCTCAACGTACCCCCCTCTCCAAACAATGGAGTCCACCTCCTCTACACCCAGGCTCTGCTCACCGCCACCCCTCTCCTTCTCCCTTTCCCTTTCCCTTTCCCTGTCCCTGCTTCCACTCACATTGTCCTGTGCTCGTCTCTGACTGCCCCCCAAGGTTAACGTCATAGGACTCAGTTGTTGACCAAGAGTCTGTCGATCACTGCCCTGTCTCTCCCCATGTTCAGAGAGATCCATACCCTCCACACTGCCCTCGAACCCTCCCTCGACCCAAATACCCTCTTCTGCTCCACAACTCTCCCCTCCTTCCCCTTGCTCCACCCTTCCTCCTGACCCTGTTCTTCCCCCTCTCACAGCCCCCACCCCAGAGCTCTGAGAGAGCCAGACCCCATGGCCCTCTCCTGGGGATCTCTCTGGAGCACCCTCCCTACTGCTGCTGGAGCCTCTACCCTTGATCATGTCTCCTCCCTCCCCAGGAAAAAGCTCCCTGGCTGGGCCTGGCCTCTCCCCAGCCTGGCTTCTTACCATCTCCCTCTGGGTGTCTGAGTCAGGGTCCTCAGAGCTGTGCCCATTCAGCAGCCTGGGAACGGAACAACAGACAGTAAGTACTGAAGGCATCTCTTAGGATTGTGTAATTGGCCGCATGAAATACTTTTCACCCAGATGCAGGGACAGCATAAGTCATATAATTACTTCTGTGTAGAAGGTTTTGGAGATAAATGTGCACAAGCCATAAGAGATTGTCGAGGACCTCAACTGAAATCCACTAAACTACAGATGAAGTAGTAGTAGTAGTAGTAGTGATACTAGATTACTTCTCCCATAGAGACCCTATCATTCACTAGAGTGGCAGATGTCATAGACCTACATAGCTCTAGAATGTGATAATGGCAGCCATCTTGGTCAGGAATAAGTAACCCTTCTAGTGTTCTGTATCTAATTCTATGAGTTTTGCCTCCAGCCCACTGTAGTGTAGTGTACCTGAAGAGGTTGAGGCTGAGGTCATGGAGGGCCATCCAGGACTCCCTCAGGTGCTTCATGTCCCTGAGGATGTGCACCCGGCCCTCTTCAGAGGTCCTCTCCAGCACCCCCTGGCCCTGCACCTCTGTCTGGTGCAGCTGCAGCTCCTTCTCTGGGAACTCACCTAGTGCCCTCTACAGGGCCAGACGACGATTAACACAGGACAGGACGGGACTTAGACTGTGGCCACACAGAGACGTACAGTACCAGTCAAAAGTTTGGACACACCTACTCATTCAAGGATTTTTCTTTATTTGTACTATTTTCTACATTCTAGAATAATAGTGAATATATCAAAACTATTAAATAACACGTGGAATCATGGAGTAACCAAAAAAGTGATAAACAAATCCAAATATATTTTATATTTGAGATTCTTCAAATAGCCACCCTTTGCCTTTATGACAGCTTTGCATACTCCTGGCATTCTCTCAACCAGCTTCACCTGGAATGTTTTTCCAACAGTCTTGAAGGAGTTCCCTCATATGCTGAGCACTTGTTGGCTGCTTTTCCTTCACACTGCCGTCCGACTCATCCCAAACCATCTCAATTGGGTTGAGGTCAGGGGATTGTGGAGGCCAGGTCATCTGATGCAGCACTCCATCACTCTCCTTCTTGGTTAAATAGCCCTTACACAGCCTGGAGGTGTGTTGGGTCATTGTCCTGTTGAAAAACAAATGATAGTCGCACTAAGCCCAAACCAGATGGGATGGCGTATCGCTGTAGAATGCTGTGGTAGCCATTCTGGTTAAGTGTCACAGTGTCACCAGCAAAGCACCCCCACACCATAACACCTCCTCCTCCATGCTTTACGGTGGTAAATACACATGCGGAGATCATCCGTTCACCCACACCGCGTCTCACAAACCAAAAATCTCCAATTTGGACTCCAGACCAAAGGACAAATTTCCACCAGTCTAATGTCGATTGCTCGTGTTTCTTGGCCCAAGCAGGTCTCTTCTTCTTATTGGTGTCCTTTAGTAGAGGTTTCTTTGCAGCAATTAGACAATGAAGGCCTGATTCACACAGTCCCCTCTGAACAGTTGATGTTGAGATGTGTCTGTTACTTGAACTATGTAAAGCATTTATTTGGGCTGCAATTTCTAAGGCTGGTAACTTTAATGAACTTATCCTCTGCAGCAGAGGTAACACTGGGTCTTCCATTCCTGTGGCGGTCCTCATGAGAGCCAGTTTCATCATAGCGCTTGATGGTTTTTGCGACTGCACTTGAAGAAACTGAAATGTTCCATATTGACTGACCTTCATGTCTAAAAGTAATGATGGACTGTCATTTCTCTTTGCTTATTTGAGCTGTTCTTGCCATAATATGGACTTGGTATTTTACCAAATAGGGCTATCTTCTGTATACCCCCCCTACCTTGTCACAACACAACTGATTGGCTCAAAAGTTCCACAAATTAACTTTTAACAAGGCACACCTGATAATTGAAATGCATTCCAGGTGACTACCTCATGAAGCTGGTTGAGAGAATGCCAAGAGTGTGCAAAGCTGTCATCAAGGCAAAGGGTGGCTATTTGAAGAATCTAAAATACAAAATATATTTTGATTTTCTTAACACTTTTTTGGTTAATACATGATTCCATGTGTTATTTCATAGTTTTGATGTCTTCACTAGTATTCTACAATGTAAAAAATAGTAAAAATAAAGAAAAACCCTTGAATGAGTAGCACTGTTCAAATGTTTTAACTTTTGATGATGTCATCGGGTATAACTTTTTTTACTTGATATATTTTTCTACAAAACATAATAATGTCGTTTTCACATATGTTGACATTGGTATTGTGCGGGAGATACTGAAAATGAGGTTGAAAAGGGGTGGAGTTGCCCTTTAAGATAACAGACCAGTACCTCAGTCTTGTGCTGTCTGTTGTGCCATCAACATACTATCCTAGACATAACATACTATAAGATACCATAACTTACTATACCAGTACATAACAGATACATGTGGAAAGTCAGTACCTCAGCCTCGTGCTGTCTGTTGTCCACGCTCCACTTCCCAGCAGAACTGCGGTAGGACTCCAGCTTCTGCCTCATAATCATCAGCCACTTCTCCACGTTCAGCAGGCTCTCGAGGAAACTCTCGTGCTCCCCGGTGCATTCCTCACTCTCCTTCACCTTCACCTGACACAGAGAGAGACACATCCAAACATGAATGCACAAATACAGTACATATGTGCCTGATTAACACTATAGTGCCAACCCTAACCATACTATGTTGGCTGGGATATTTTCTTTTCACATTGTCCTTTCTAGCACGGTTCCAGAAACTATGATGATGCGCAACCCGGAAAGCCCAGTACAGCTCAGCTTGGCTCAGTAGTGTGAAAAGGTTCAATGTTACCCTTTTTCAGAACCTGTGAGGAAAGCATGGAGTTGCCGTCTCTCTCAGAGCCAGTCTTACCCTGATGGCCTTGTAAAGGATCCTCCAGTCCCCGTACAGCATCTCAAACTGGGTCCTGTTAGCGGAGCTAGATGACACCAGAGTCTCCAGAGCTGTGATGTGGGCCTCACAGTCCTTCAAGTCCTTCTTGATCACCTGAGAGAGGACACAAGCAGTAGCGTTTGAGAGACACAGGTATAGATTACCGTGAGCACAGAATTAAATAGAACACTAGAATGGACATTGGCAACATAAATAAATCGGCCATCTTGGTCAGGAAAACGTTCATTCTAGAAACTGATCAAATGTGGTAATATATTGTATGAAACAATGAACTTGTGAATCATAGGATCTCCATGGCAGTGAGTGACCCACCCGTAGCTGGTCTGAATGGCTCTTCTTGGCCAGTATATCTGTCTGGAGGCTGTCTGCTGAGATCAGTCTGTCTCTCAGCAGGGTCAGCTTGTTCCTGATTGACTCGTAGGTGTCCCCAAAGTCCTTTGTCCTTGAGATCAAACCCTAAAGAAAGGACATATCAGAATTTAGGGGTTGCATCTCAAATGGCACCACATTCCCTTATAATGCACTACATTTGACCAGAGCCCTATGACACACACACACACACACACACACACACACACACACACACACACACACCTGCAGTCTTCCTTTCCTCTGCAGCAGCTGGCTGTGCAGTAACTCCCTGTTCCTCACGGTGGCATTGAGCTCGGTCATTAGACTCTCTGCTCTGTCTGAGCCGAACACTGAACCCAGCAGATCTCTCTTCAACTGCATCAGATGCAACCGGTCCTGCAGCTGCAGACTGTGCTTCAGCAACCTCTGTAGAGGGGGGGGGGGGGTCAGAAAAGGAAAAACAGTGAGGGGAAATACAAAAATAAAATATAGGCAGGGGATAAAGCAAGAAAATTGTAAGTGTGTAGATGGAAGAGAGTAAAAGAGGGTCAGGGGAGATTGATATGGGGAAGGAGAGAAAAAAAGGGGGTGATAAATAAGGATTTAAATAGGGATTTAAAGAGGGATTTTAATAACGATTTAAAAAAGGATTTAAAGAGGAATTTAAAGAGGGATTTAAATAATTATTTAAAGAATGTTTTAAAGAATGATTTAAATAGGAATTTAAAGAGGGATTTAAAGAATTTTTAAAGAATGATTTAAAGAATGATGATTTAAAGAGGGATTTAAAGAGGGATTTAAAGAGGGAACACACCACAGATGAAAGGTATGTGTAGTAGAAATATGTGCCTCTAGTAGATAGATTACACATTCCTCTGTGTCAAAGTATAGCAAGCATGATCCTCAGATCTTCTTTTTCACAGATCAGGGATTGATTGAGCTCCCTGGCCTGTGCTGTCATTACTCCCATGTCTGGAGGGGAGTTTATATAGGGAGGAAGTCATTTTCTTCTGTCCACAGTGGAGGAGCGATTCCATTTTCTGATAGAGAAGGCTAGAATGCATCCCAAACGGCACCCTGGTCAAAAATAGTGCACCAAATAGAGATTATGGTGCCATTTGGGACGCATTCTAAGCCAATCTATGTCCAGTTCCAGTACTGTATGTAGGGCTGATTAGATTTCCCTAGCAGGCCTAATTAAGGTACCATGAATAATGTAGATTTGTGGGTAAGAGCGTTGTAAGAGCGGCAGGTAGCTTAGTGGGTAAGAGCGTTGTGCCAGTAACCGAAAGGTAGCTGGTTCTAATCCCCGAGCCGACTACGTGAAAAATCTGTCGATGTGCCCTTAAGCAAGGCACTTAACCCTAATTGCTCGTGTAAGTCGCTCTGGATAAGAGCGTCTGCTAAATGACTAAAATGTAAAAATGTAGATCATCTGCTTTTCTCTTTTCGTTATTAAAGAGGAGGTCTCCAGGCCTTAAGGGCCACAGTTACTTGTGGTCCTCTGTAGCTCAGCTGGTAGAGCACGGCGCTTGTAACGCCAAGGTAGTGGGTTCGATCCCCGGGACCACCCATACACAAAAATGTATGCACGCACGACTGTAAGTCGCTTTGGATAAAAGCGTCTGCTAAATGGCATATTATTATTATTATTACTAAGTTTGGATTTTCAGACATTAAGGTTCCCCTTATGAACACAATCCTGGTTTAGCTGTTTGATTGATGGGAGTGACTCTTGCTGTAAATATGCGTTGTACTTTTTCTATATGCATTTTACTTTACTGTATTAAAGGGTTTAGCTGTTTGATTGATGGGAGTGACTCTTACTGTATTAAATGGTTTAGCTGTTTGATTGATGGGAGTGACTCTTACTGTATTAAATGGTTTAGCTGTTTGATTGATGGGAGTGACTCTTACTGTATTAAATGGTTTAGCGGTTTGTCTACGTCCCTTCTAAAGATGGAATCCGCATTAGGGGAAACAGCGCCACTCTCCGCCCCAGCACCTCTGTTGTTTTTGTTTTGTGAACGAATTGAAGGTGAGGTGCGTCGAGCAGTGTGTAAAAAAATAATTGCAGTACATATTCTACTGTTCTATCGTGCATGCAATGATGTCTGATGGGAAAAAAACTGTGTTCGTTTTTTGCAATAACTTCTTTGTTGTTGTAATATCTCAAACGGACGAGGCATTTTCACCATTAAGGATTCAATTTTTAAGCACACGATCAAAACACATTTAATAGTTTATTAAATCAGTAGCAGTCTGCAGTGCAGTGCAGTGTTCCTACCTCGATGTTCTGCACCAGCATGGCGATGTGTGAGAACTCAGACACTTCAGCAGAGGACTCCAACACTTGAGAGACCAGCTGGCTCCACTGAGAGAATCCATGCAGAGGGTCCTGCAGCACTTGTCTCAGCCCCAACTCTGACTCCACACACAGCTTCATAGCACGACACTTCACACTGCACGGGGACAAAGCAAATGAGTTTACGACAGATTAGATATGGTGCTTTTCATGCAAAGACCAAGTTTACTGTAGAGATTTTGTAAGATATTTACACTGAGTCAGAGGAAAATTTCAGCTTGTACATTGCCTTTTTTTTTTTGTTGAAGAATCTCAAATATAAAATCTATTTAGATTTGTTTAACACTTTTTTTTGTTACTACATTATTCAATTTGTGTTATTTCATAGTTTTGCTGTCTTCACTATTATTCTACAATGTAGAAAATAGTAAAAATAAAGAAAAACCCTTGAATGAGTAGGTGTTCTAAAACTTTTGACCGGTAGTGTATATAGTTAAAATTGGCGTGTATTAGAGCCGTGGGGGAGGAAATAGAAACACTCTGGACACCGTTGGGAGAGGCGTCGGAATAATAACTATTGAAATGGCGACCGGTGGCCCCGATTCTCCCTGTAAAGGGGGACTAGAGGAAGAAACGTTTAATAAAGCCATAGAGGCGCTGAAAGAGGCGCACGAGCATTCTACCAATTTGGCTCGAATGTGGGAAGAATTGAGCAAACTGGATAAAATTGGTCAGCATTTCCCTGCTGATGGAAAATTCCAATCTAATAAAGAATTCAGAGATGCAATTGTGAACTTGGCACAATGACATAAAATAATAATCAAAAGCTCAATACACCAGCGTTTTGATGTCAGCGTTCTATCAAAAAAGAAAAACCGATAAAACCAAAATTAGTAGATGTACTCAGCTGCAAAAAGACTGGGTACGTGAGTACATTGATAGAATGTGTACGTCTGCTTTGATGGCAGGTTTGAAACCTGTTATCCAAATGGCTATTGCAAGGGTAGTGGACCAACATTTTCATTGGGATGAAATAGAGCAGGAGGCTTTGAGAGTTGAATCTAATTGCGATCACTTCGCAGCCGTGCGTGTGGTTAATACAGCCACAATGAAAGTCACTAACAGTGGTGAAAGACAAAAGAAACAGAGAGGAAAGGGCAGTGAATTCGTCCCAAGGCGCAAAGCATCAGAGCCCTGTTTTAGGTGTGGGGCTGTTGGTCAATGGAAGAGTGAGTGTAGCGAGGCAAGGGAGCTCGAAATAGGGTAAATTTACAACAGGGAAAAGTATTACATTCAGCAGGGTAACAGGGGCAGAATCGAAAGCGATACGACTACTACCCATGTCTCTGATCATAGGACCAGTAACAATACCCGGATATTGTTACATGGCGAGGGGTGTGGAGCCAATTTTGGGGTTGGAAGAATCTATGCGAAATGCCAGGGAAATGGATTCTAAAAGGTTAAAATTACCAGGCCAAACACTCCTTGCAAGTTCAGAAAACCTTGGGGTTTTTTTAATCATGTGAGACACTTTATTCTGTCTTTCACAGTGTAGGTTGGGAAAAGTATGTGAACCCCAATGCTAATGACTTCTCCAAAAGCAAATTGGAGTCAGGAGTCAGCTAACCTGGAGTCCAATCAATGAGATGAGATTGGAGATGTTGGTTAGAGCTGCCCTGCCCTATAAAAAACACTCACAAACGGATGGACAGAGACTGGCATGGAGACTAGCATCCCATTGGCATAGAACAGAATGGATGGACAGAGACTGGCATGGAGACTAGCATCCCATTGGCATAGAACAGAACGGATGGACGTTCTTGCCCCAATCTCATTCTCATCAACGGTGGTGTGAAATTATTAAACATGTATCGTCTCTCTTCCCTGTTCAAGTCAATATGTTTCCTAGGTGTTGTAGAACATGAGAGTGATCAATTCCAGATGAGGTATTGTTGGAAATTGACTAATTGACTTGAGCATGTTTTAGTAAGTTTATAACTATATAAGTGGACTAGCAGTAGTGACTAATGTGTTATGGGTTAGATGGAATGATTTATGTGCAAATGTATTTGTGGCCGGAGGCAAGGTACATATAAGGGGCCTGTGTTTGAGACAGAATGTTTGCATAAGGGTGTTAGTTGCAGATTCTAGCAGGACTGATATCAGTGTATTCTATGGAGTCCCAAAAACCAAGGCGTTAACGTCACAGGGAATTGGGAGAGCGGAATGGAATGTGACTGGGGCGGAGATCTGTGTGGCTCATAAATTAAGGAAGTGGGTAATAGAGTCTCTGAGGAACGATACCACTCCTCTATGTATAGTGATACAGGTAGGAGAGGGAGGACAGCTAACTGTGCACAATATAGAGACTACTATGACGTTAAATTGAACGTCACACCTACCCAGATCATGGTGAGAGCAGCAGAGATAGTGTTGTCATTTCAGACACCATTGTCAACTTTCAGTGAGGGGTTCGTCAAAGAAGGTACAACGCTTGAAAGAATAGCCACAGATCCCTGTATACAGGAGGCCACCTCACCGGAAGGGAGGTTTGCTGTAATAATAGCATCACATCTCCTGCAGGGAACATGTGACTCAGAGTTTGGAAACTCTTCCAACGGCACTAATGTCTCCCTCATTCCAAACCGCCAGCAGGAAAGTGTCAGAAGGTGGCTGCGTATCAACCGTTTGGACCCAAAGTTTACACTGTAACAAGGGTGTTTTACATTTACATTTTAGTCATTTAGCAGACGCTCTTATCCAGAGCGACTTACAGTTAAGTGAGTGCATACATTATTAAATTTTTTTTTTCTCATACTGGCCCCCCGTGGGAATCAAACCCACAACCCTGCCGTTGCAAACGCCATGCTCTACCAACTGAGCTACATCCCTGCCGGCCATTCCCTCCCCTACCCTGGACGACGCTGGGCCAATTGTGCGCCGCCCCATGGGTCTCCCGGTCGCGGCCGGCTACGACAGAGCCTGGATTCGAACCAGGATCTCTAGTGGCACAGCTAGCACTGCGATGCAGTGCCTTAGACCACTGCGCCAATCGGGGTGGGGTGAACAGGTCATGGCTCGGGTGGTTGATGTCCTTCATGATCTTTTTGGCCTTCCTGTGACATCGGGTGCTGTAGGTATCCTGGAGGGCAGGCAGTGTGCCCCCGGTGATACGTTGGGCAGACCGCACCACCCTCTGGGGAGCCCTGCAATTGCGGGCGGTGCAGTTGCCATACCAGGTGGTGATACAGCCTGACAGGATGCTCTCAATTGTGCATCTGTAAAAGTTTGAGGTAGGGAGTATCTGAAAGGTTCAGTCCTAGATCTATCAGTGAACCACAAAGGCAATAGAAGATCAGGAGCAGGAGACAGAGTCAATGCAATAGCTATTCTTATGGCAGTCGCTGTAGGGACAGTAACAGAAGGAGCAGTAGTAGTGGTGAAGCATACTTTAGTAACAGCATGGAACTGGACTACTGCGCAAATGAGGGGTATTTTGAAGTATGCTTCATGGGCAGTGTTAGTGGTAGCAGGGGTTACCTTGGTAGCATTGCAGAGATATCACCTTCTGAGGGCATTGATGTTGAAACGTATATACAGTGCTGATTTAGGATGAGGTAAAGTTGATTAAGGTCACTGCACATGTATATACAGTGAGGGAAAAAAGTATTTGATCCCCTGCTGATTTGGTAGGTTTGCCCACTGACAAAGAAATGATCAGTCTATAATTTTAATGGTAGGTTTATTTGAACAGTGAGAGACAGAATAACAACAAAAAAATCCAGAAAAACGCATGTCAAAAATGTTATAAATGTATTTGCATTTTAATGAGGGAAATAAGTATTTGACCCCTCTGCAAAACATGACTTAGTACTTGGTGGCAAAACCCTTGTTGGCAATCACAGAGGTCAGACGTTTCTTGTAGTTGGCCACCAGGTTTGCACACATCTCAGGAGGGATTTTGTCCCACTCCTCTTTGCAGATCTTCTCCAAGTCATTAAGGTTTCGAGGCTGACAGTTGGCAACTCAAACCTTCAGCTCCCTCCACAGATTTTCTATGGGATTAAGGTCTGGAGACTGGCTAGGCTACTCCAGGACCTTAATGTGCTTCTTCTTGAGCCACTCCTTTGTTGCCTTGGCCGTGTATTTTGGATCATTGTCATGCTGGAATACCCATCCACGACCCATTTTCAATGCACTGGCTGAGGGAAGGAGGTTCTCACCCAAGATTTGACGGTTCATGGCCCCGTCCATCGTCCCTTTGATACGGCGAAGTTGTCCTGTCCCCTTGCCAGAAAAACACCCCCAAAGCATAATGTTTCCACCTCCATGTTTGACGGTGGGGATGGTGTTCTTGGGGTCATAGGCAGCATTCCTCCTCCTCCAAACACGGTGAGTTGAGTTGATGCCAAAAAGCTCGATTTTGGTCTCATCTGACCACAACACTTTCACCCAGTTCTCCTCTGAATCATTCAGATGTTCATTGGCAAACTTCAGACGGGCCTGTTAATGTGCTTTCTTGAGCAGGGGGACCTTGTGGGTGCTGCAGGATTTCAGTCCTTCACGGCATAGTGTGTTACCAATTGTTTTCTTGGTGACTATGGTCCCAGCTGCCTAAAAGATCATTGGCAAGATCCTCCCGTGTAGTTCTGGGCTGATTCCTCACCGTTCTCATGATCATTGCAACGCCACGAGGTGAGACCTTGCATGGAGCCCCAGGCCGAGGGAGATTGACAGGTCTTTTGTGTTTCTTCCATTTGCGAAAAATCGCACCAACTGTTGTTGTAGCCCATGGTCTTGTAGCCCATTCCAGCCTTGTGTAGGTCTACAATCTTGTCCCTGACATCCTTGGAGAGCTCTTTGGTCTTGGCCAAGGTGGAGAGTTTGGAATCTGATTGATTGATTGTTCTGTGGACAGGTGTCTTTTATACAGGTAAAAAACTGAGATTAGGAGCACTCCCTTTAAAAGTGTGCTCCTAATCTCAGCTCGTTACCTGTATAAAAGACACCTGGGAGCCAAAAATCTTTCTGATTGAGAGAGGGTCAAATACTTATTTCCCTCATTGAAATGCAAATCAATTTATAACATTTTTGACATGCGTTTTTCTGGATTTTTTTGTTGTTATTCTGTCTCTCATTGTTCAAATAAACCTACCATTAAAATTATAGACTGATCATTTCTTTGTCAGTGGGCAAACCTACAAAATCAGCAGGGGATCAAATACTTTTTCCCCTCACTGTATCGGGTGGCCATGGAGGAAGGAGGAGATGGGGAGAGAAGTGAAAATTATATGGCGTTAAAACACTTTTTCTAACCTGTGGCTTAACGAGGGAGGAAGACAGTATTTTTTTAGGGCCTTCATTTTTGTGGAACCCAGCAGAAAAGTATCCCGAAGGCATAGGCAGGCGAAGAGAGAGTGGGAATCGTCATGTTATCAAACTTCGGTTTTTCTTTGCATATGTAATTATGCATAGTTTAACGCATCATTAATACTTATTATGTTTTGTGTTTCTTTTGCTTTTCAAGTCTTGTGCTATCACTCTCTCAGGAACCTGGAGGAGGAAATGGAGGAAGTCAAAAGTTCCAGCTGAAATGGAGGAAGTCAAAAGCTCCAGCTGAAATGGAGGAAGTCAAAAGCTCCAGCTGAAATGGAGGAAGTCAAAAGCTCCAGCTGAAATGGAGGAAGTCGAAAGCTCCAGCTGAAATGGAGGAAGTCAAAAGCTCCAGCTGAAATGGAGGAAGTCAAAAGCTCCAGTTGAAATGTCATTATCAGTTGTTCGACGAGAGATGGAAATAAGAGTGTGCATAGTATGATTATAGATCAGAGGCCATAAGTATCGGAGATGTAAATAGACAAATCAACTGTGAATGTTAATCATGTTTTATTTTTTGTTCATGTTTTATTTTTTGTTCATTTATAAGTAATTTCAAAGTTTATGTGATGTTGAACAGTATGGAATTACTATTGAAAAAGGAGGGACTGTTGGGTTGTAGTTTGAAATACTTTGCTACACCAGAAGTTAATGGTTAAATGTATGAGGAATGTATACGGTGGGGTCAATGGAGGTTGGATAAGAAGTATGGGTCTGTAAAGTCACTAAGTAAGGGAAAAGGAAATCACTTGGTTGCGGTCACTGATAAGGTTGGATAGCTGTGGATTAATGAGGAATGTGGGCTGAGATCAGGTCAAGTTAGATGAAGGGAGAAGGAACAGTTTTATTACACACATCACTTAAGTTCCTGCCTAGCAACAGATAGGTATTGGCTGTCTAGATGTGCAAGGAGTTGACTCCGCCCAGTAGAGGGTATAAATATATGTACTCGTGTAAACATGTCTTTGTCTTATGCAGCTGTTTGACCCAGTAGGTGAATAAACTTGGTCTGAGCTTTGACTAGTTGTCCGTTAGTTTTTTACTCTGTTTATTTAGAACCTAACAACAGTATACCGCCCAATCCTAATACATACTAGGTTATGTCCTTTATCAGACCATGCCTGTCTACAGAGGTGTTAGGATTCCTAACTGTCACATGAGTTACGACAAGTTAGAAAAGGCATGGAACCTTATATCCTATGGAAGAAAAAGCACATCAATAGGCCTATATAGACAGTTGGCTTATGCAAAATCTGCTGAACCATCCCTCTGAAGGTGAATCTCAATAGTCTGAAAACGCATCTTCCTCTCCTTGTCCCTTCTCCTTCACTGAATAGTAATCACTGAACAAGAGAGATTGAGCGCAAATATGGCAGATGCCACCTCTCTAACATTCAATAATATTAAGTATCTTAGAGTATGGATAATGATGCATTCTGAGTTCACTACTTTTTACCAAGTACTGAGAACATGTTGGCTTACTATTTAAAAACAAGATGGAGAACAAGCTATAGGATGACTAGCGCTAGCTAATGCTACCTAGCAAAAAATATGCATTTATTTTTACAAATCGATACTTGGAATCAAAGTATCGATTTTTTCCCCCCATTACTAGTCAAAAGTAGTGCGCTAAATAGGGAATAGGGTTCCATTTGGGACACATACTCCATGTCAACTCACCTCTGCTGTTCCTTCACCACAGCCAGGACGTCGTCAGAGAGATGCCGGGAATCTTGGGAAAAGCGGAAGAGTTCTTTAAGCTGGGCCTTGAGGTGCTCCACCTGGGATTCCTCTGCCAACAAAGTATTCCGGACGTTCTGAGTGGGGGAATACCAACAGGGAGAAATAAGGAAAAGTAAAAAAATACATTAAAAAAACACATCACAGTGCATATGACCCTTTGAGCCCTGGCCAAAAGTAGTTCATTATAAAGAAAATAGGGATCCATTTGGGACGTATCCAGAGACAAGCCTAGACCACCTGGCAGCTCATTTTCTACACCCAAACAATCACACACCATCATTAACAACCAAATTGGCATAAACACCAACTTGAATATGATTTGTATTTTTTTATATTTTTTTTAAAGTGAGTGCACATTAAATCAACGTTTTAGTAAAAGTGCCGGTTTTAGCCAGCCGGCTAATTTTCAACCGCAGTCCCTGTGAAGGTTATTAACAACTATTACAATTTTACATTTGATATTTTTGTCATTTAGCAGATGCTCTTATCCAGAGCGACTTACAGTTAGTGAGTGCATACATGTTTTTTGTGTTTTTTTTTTCATATTGGCCCCCTGTAGGAAACGAACCCACAACCCTGGCGTTGCAAGCGCCATGCTCTACCAACTGAGCTACATGGGGCCCAATATCTACAATAACAATAAAGACAAACAATGAGCAGTGAGCACCTGCAGAGCAACATAGGACAAGCAACACGTAGCATGCCGACAGACAGAGCAACATAGGACTAGCAACACATAGCTCGCAGACAGAGAAACACAGGACTAGCAACACGTAGCACGCAGACAGAGAAACATAGGACTAGCAACACGTAGCACGCAGACAGAGAAACATAGGACAAGCAACACGTAGCACGCACACAGAAACAGAGGACAAGCAACACATAGCACGCAGACAGAGAAACACAGGACTAGCAACACGTAGCACGCAGACAGAGAAACATAGGACTAGCAACACGTAGCACGCAGACAGAGCAACATAGGACTAGCAACACGTAGCACGCAGACAGAGCAACATAGGACTAGCAACACGTAGCACGCAGACAGAGCAACATAGGACTAGCAACACGTAGCACGCAGACAGAGCAACATAGGACTAGCAACACGTAGCAAACAGACAGAGAAATAGCAACAAAACAAAATACATAAAAGCAACAAAGTGTTTACACACCTCACAAGCTACAGACAACAGATAACATGGAAAGCAGAAATACACAGCTAGGGATTATGTTCACAACTCTGATTGGCCTTTAGCCATGTCTTTATGTTTTTTGTGAAGGTGCGATATGTGGTGCAGTTGTGTGTGTCTGATGGCAGTGTGTTCCAGAAATGGGAAGCTCTCACAGAGAAAGCAGATTTCCAAAAGGTGCTTTTCCTTAAGGGAACTATACAGTCACCTCTCATGTCAGACCTTGTGGATCTGCTGCCATGGGTTTGGGTTTTGTCCGTTTGACAAAAGTACTAAGTGGAGGGGGAGCCAGGCCATTTAGGATCTTGAATACAAGACATGCGTCGGTGTATAGCACAAGATTTTCCCAACTCAGGAGTTCATGCTTTCTAAGGATGTAACAGTGGTGATGGCTATTGGGCGGTTCTATCAAGCACTTTGAGAGCCTGTTTGTAGACAGACTGAATGGGTTTTAATGTTGTACAGCAAGCTTGGGCCCAACTAGTCAAGCAGTATGTTAAGTGGGGGAGTATCATAGCATTGAAGTACAGTTTTGCTACCTCTGTAGTCAAACAATTTCGTATGAATTGGAAATTAGCTAGGTTGAATTTGGTTATTTGAGTTACCTTTTTCACCTGCTTTTTAAAAGAGTGGTTGGAATCAAGTATGATGCCAAGGTACTTAAAAAGGGATACCACCTAGAGCTTCTCCCCTGACACAGACATTTGGCTCAGTAGCATCATTTTCCCTCTTTGTGAACAACATGCAGACTGTTCTTCTCCCCTGACACAGACATCTGGCTCAGTAGCATCATTTGCCCTCTTTGTGAACAACATGCAGACAGTTTTTTTCACATTGAGATGCAAACATTTGTAACATGGACTGTTACAGTAGTGAGTTATTGTGCAGCTTGTTGTTTGCTCTTTGCATGCACATATATCACTGTATCATCTGCATACATTTGAACTTCAGACCCAGTACAGACAGAAGGCAGATCATTAATGTACAGGCTGAACAGGATTGTTCAGCCTGTACATTGACCCCTGGGGCACGCCCACTTAATTTCCTCCTTTGCCAGAATTAACCAATTACAGCCTCGGAGGCCTCTTGGTGCCTGCTGCTTTCATTCTACTGAGGTGAATTGTCAAGAATGCTTTTGTTTGTTGAGGATTAAATGAGTGCTTGCCTCATCTGCCAGCTTTGGTTTCTCAGCCTGATCTAAATAGTCTAAAGTGTCTTCCTAGCGTCGCTTCCTAGCCTCGCTTCCTAGCCGCCATCTTCATTCATCTGAACAGACGCAGGTGGACGTTTATTGTCATGAGTCGTGTGTTGGAGGCAGAACTGAGCAATTTCCCCTTAGATAGGCCAGCTGCAAAGTAAAAATGGTCTAGATTGTAAAAAATTCATGAAAACTAAAATGTGCTTTTTGGTCTTAATTTAAGGTTAGGGTTAGGCTTTAGGGTTAGCAGTGTGTTTAAGGTTAGGTTTAAAATCTGATTTCATGACTTTGTGGCTCTGCCAGCTAGTGACCACTCCGCAGAGCTGCCTCCATAACAAGATTCATGATGAAAAACGGTAACCTGCTGAACAGACAGGACAGGTGAAAGCAATGTACTGAAAGCCTATGGAGGCATTTCATCTGTCCCATTTATTCACATCAGTGAGGATGAAGTACAATAGATAAGAAAAGGAAGCCACATTAGACTATTAATACACATCCATAGACTGTGGGAACCTGCCCTACCACACCTGCACGTTTTGACTGTGAGGTTACAATACCAGCCCACAATCATTATCTTCTCTCTCATCTGCACCACACTTCTCCCAGGCGTTCAGCCAGAGGGCCATTCCTGCCAGGCAATAGTTAGAGCAACCACCCATGCAGTGTCAGACCCTTGTTGTAGCTAGTAACTAAAGATGTAAACCATAGGGTTGAGGAGTGAAAGTGACATAGAGAACTGTCAGAGAGAGAGAGGATATAGGAAGAGAGAGAGAGAGGATATAGGAATAGAGAGAGAGAGAGACACCAAACCCACTGTGTATTTCCTCCACTGCCCAACCATCTGTTCCTCGGTCCTGTCTCCCTCCCTGGCTGTCTCCAGGTCTCTGGTCCTGTCTCCCTCCCTGGCTGTCTCCAGGTCTCTGGTCCTGTCTCCATCCCTGGCTGTCTCCAGGTCTCTGGTCCTGTCTCCATCCCTGGCTGTCTCCAGGTCTCTGGTCCTGTCTCCATCCCTGGCTGTCTCCAGGTCTCTGGTCAGTCTGTGGAGCAGGGCCCGGAGCTGCACGATGTCCTCCCCCAGGCGCTGGCAGCGGCTCTGGTACTGGCTCTGAGAGTCCATGCTGCTCTTCAGGCCCTCTCCGGCCTCACACAGGCTCTGTCTCAGCCTCTGCCAGTCCAGACGCAACTCCTCTGCTTCCTCCACCACCACCTCCGCTCCCCTGGGGGACGTGTTGGCCCGCACCGCCTCCGCCATTCCCTCGATGTGCTGCAGCGTCCTCTCCTCACTGGCCACGCTGTCATCCAGTGTCTGACAAAGGAGAGAGGGTTATCCTGATTACATTTACATTTTAGTCATTTAGCAGACGCTCTTATCCAGAGCGACTTACAGTTAGTGAGTGCATACATTATTATTTTTTATTTGTTTTCATACTGGCCCCCCGTGGGAATCGAACCCACAACCCTGGCGTTGCAAACGCCATGCTCTACCAACTGAGCTACATCCCTGATTCTCTACTCTTCTCCCAAAGGAGATTACAGGTTGTTCACAGCATGGTATGTGTCCCTCCCAGCAGAATCAAATCAAGTCAAATCAAACTTGATTTAAAATACATTTAAAATTGCAACACACTTCATAGTAAAACAATGAAATGATGGAGATAAAAAAAAAAAACTGAAGGCAATAAAAGCGATGAATAAAAGAACAGTGATGTGACCAGAGTGAACTCTCACCTGTCCCTCCCAGAAGTCATGTGACTAGGGTGTACTTCTCTCACCTGTAGGGCTCGGAGTTTGTTCTCGGCTGTGTCCTCAGTCTCAGTGAGGGTGTTGAGCTCCTTAGTCTTGGACACCAGCCAGGACTGGAACTTCAGCACGTCGCTCTGGTACATCTGGTGCTCTTCAGCCATCTTCTGCAGCACCGACAGCCTTTCCTGTTGATATAGCCATTGATTGTTGTTTTTCAAATCCCAGATTTCCCCCTATATTTTTTTTTTTACCCCTTTTTCGTGGTATCCAATTGGTAGTTACAGTCTTGTCCCTTCGCTGCAACTCCCGTACGGACACGGGAGAGGCGAATGTCGAGAGCCGTGCGTCCTCCGAAACACAACCCAACCGAGCTGCACTGCTTCTTGACACAATGCCCGCTTCACCCAGAAGCCAGCCGCACCAATGTGTTGGAGGAAACACTGTACACCTGGCGACCGTATCAGCGTGCACTGCACCCAGCCCACCACAGGAGTCGCTAGTGCGTGATAGGACAAGAACATCCCTGCCGTCCAAACCCTCCCCGAACCTGGACGATGCTGGGCCAATTGTGCGCCGCCCAATGGGTCTCCCGGTTGCGGCCGGCTGTGAAAGAGCCTGGATCCGAACCAGGATCTCTAGTGGCACAGCTAGCACTGCAATGCAGTGCCTTAGACCACTGCGCCACTTGGGAGTCCCCAGATTGCCCCTTTAAAGCCAAGTAAATAATAAGAAAAAAAAACAGACGCCCTATGATTTAGTATTTACTATTTTATGAGGATCCCCATTTGCTACTGCTGAAGCAGCACTTCCTCTTCCTGGGGTCCACGATGCTCTATGATAATAACAGAACCACAGACAGGGCTATTAAAATGAAAGAAACTCATATAAATTTGGAGCAGATAAATGCAAATTGCTTTGAATAAAGAAACCTCATTGGTGTACTGGTGAATAATAGAATAGCATCTTATTCAGAATAGCATCTTATTCAGTTAGATTAGAACTAGCTGGTTCCAGCTTCGTTCAAACTGTAGAGGAAAAAAAATGTGCCCCTCTATTAAGCACCAACTTCCATATGAAAGAGAACATCAATCATTAAAATGACATTCCCCCTTGGAGCAAACACACGGCTCTGCCATGAGCTAAAGCATGTTCAAACGGGCCAGCAGCGCTGAAAGAGCCTTTGAAAAGAGAGAAAGATAGAGGAGAGGACTATTGTTGGGCTCTGTCCTGTCAGATGTTTCAAAGAGCTACATGAAACGCAAATAGAAACAGGAACGGCATTGTCTTGATTGTGTGACTACTACAGAAGAGAATAAAGGAACTATACAACAAAAGAAAGCTTAGCAAAAATGGAAGAGTATTTACCAACAACATTCAGAGAGACAGACTTAATTCTGAGAACGTAGAAGTTACTGTACTCTGCAGCTGTCTATCATGGTTTCAATCATTACATTATGTTTGCTATATAGCCTACACTGACAGTAATTGTGGTGTACACATTCTATACCATAGCTCTATACAGGAATGCTAGCCTGGGTTTTGTGCAGAGAAATCGAGGGGATAGCTGGAAAGATTTTGAACGAGAGTCATCAGAAAGCCTCCGTTGTACTGCACACAGACACACACACACACACACACCTCAGCCCTGTCCCGTATGCTGTTATAGGCCTGCTGGAGTTGCTCCTGTGCATTCTGGTCCACACTGGGGTCCTGGATGCGGTTGTGCAGCGCTGCAGCCTCGTCCACCAGCCTCTCCAGCAGCAGTGCCTGGCTCTGGACGTCACTCAGCAGGACACGCTGGTTGTCCACCTGGAACACACAGACACACACACACACACACACACACACACACACACAGAGACACACGTTAGATTACATTACATTAGGGTCGCTTTTGAATTACGGTGGCATTTGCGTCCCTTGCCTTTGCATCCCTGAAAAACACTTTAAAATGGCATACATGTTTTAGTTTATATTGAACTGTTTATCAATAATAAAACATAATGCAAGTCCTTTCTACTGCAAAACCTTATGTTTATGCGTTATTTAAAGGGATTGGGGTAAGCACATTGGCTTGTCCCAGTAGTGATGTGTAGAGTTGTAGTGACATGTTTTGGGGATTTAGAGACACACTACATGACCAAAAGTATGTAGACACCTGCTCGTCAAATATCTAATTCCAAAATCATGGGCATTAATATGGAGTTGGTCCCCCCTTTGCAGCTACATAAGCCTCCACTCTTCTGGGAAGGCTTTCCACTAAATGTTGGAACATTGCTGCGGGGACTTGCTTCCATTCATCCACAAGAGCATTAGTGAGGTCGGGCACTGATGTTGGGCGATTAGGCCTGGCTCGCAGTTGGCGTACCAATTCATCCCAAAGGTGTTTATTGGGGTTGAGGTCAGGGCTCTGTGCAGGCCAGTCAAGTTTTCCACACAGATCTCCACAAACCATTTCTGTACGGACCTTGCTTTGTGCGCGGGGACATTGTGATGCTGAAACAGGAAAGGGCCTTCCCCAAACTGTTGCCACAAAGTTGGAAGCACAGAATCGTCTAGAATGTCATTGTATGCTGTAGCGTTAAGATTTCCCTTCACTGGAACTAAGGGGCCTAGCCCGGACAACTGAGCTCTTCAGTAAGGCCATTCTACTGCTAAGGTTTGTCTATGGAGATTGTATGGCTGTGTGATCGATTTTATACACCTGTCAGCAACGGGTGTGGCTGAAATAGCCGACTCCACTAATTTGAAGGGGAGTCCACATACTTTTGTATATATAGTGTATCTATTAATTTGAGTGCTAGAAAGTAAACAAAAGTATTTAATCTATTGTATAGATCAGGTATAGATCAATACAAACAAAGAAGGCTATTAAAATACCTTCTTTTCTTTTACTAGTATAACGTTTGTCCCTCAGTTTTATGTCATTGGTGTTATCACCTTGAAAATCACTCATTACAAAGATATACAAGGACCTTGATCATTCCCTCCAGTGGCAAACTGTTATCGGGGGAGGGGTCTATATTAAAGAAAATTATTTGCTAATCACACCCTTTTAGTATGTCCTAAATTTGAGGATTCCATTGATCATTTGGTGTGTCTAAATCCAAAGTGTCACTTGGTGTTAGTCAATTTAAATGAAGGGAAATAACATTGTGAGCAAAATGATTTATCATATCACTTTAGTAAATTATTTTTAAAGAAATGATGACCTTAGATTTGAGCATTTCTTGCCTCCATTTCAGAAAATCCTCATTTACCAACAACAAAATATTTACTACTCTAACTGGTGGCACAATGTTATCTTAAATGATACAAATTATTTAAAAGAAATTTTGCTACCATATTAGTTCAGTTAGAATGAGAAGATGTACCCAAATACATTTAAATAAATACAAATGTAGAAAAATGAAGTTAATTCTTTCCAAAATGCCATGCCCAAATGCCACCATAATTCAAGTACGACCCATTGGATACTTTCCACCTGGAACTTGGTGCATCAGCAAGCTAGCTCTTCTATAGGCAGCATTCATTGGTTCAATTGATGTGGCTAGGTGTGGCTAGGGTTTTCAACTACGAACTCAAAGATGGCTTCCTACAAGAAGTAGGAATCCAACAGTCTATGAACACAGTTCAGGCTAGGCTACTGAAACGGTACCAGTAGTATTACTTTATATTCAGTTTGTGTGTCCATTTAAAACCACACCCTATCCTCGTCACTCACGCTTTCACTCTTGAGTTTTACAGACCTTTCTTCCCCTGGCTAAATGTCACTATTGTTGACACCAAGCACAAGGTGTGTTTGCTCACCTGCCACAATTTCTCCTTCACACCCAGCTGCAGCTCAACCTCCGGCTCCAGACTGCGACGCACGTGGACCAGCCATATTTCAAACTCCTCATACGCCTTCAGGTACTCACTCCAGTGCAGCCACACCCACTCTATACGGCTGGGGAAAGAGGAGATGGAATGGTAGCTAACACTTTATAATCATGAACTATCATGAACAAGCATTTATAAATGATTTATAAACTATTTATATACTATTTTCAGTAAGTATTTCATTATGAAATATTTAAGCATTTATGAAGGCATATTCAAGACAAACAATAGACCTCAGAAAACTCTGATATGTGTAGCTATATGGCTTTAAAAAGAAAAACAAGACCTTCTGCTGTGACTTTGTAATTAACAAACTATTTGAAAAAATTGTATACTATTGGAAAAAATTGTGTTTGACCAGATACATTTACATTTACATTTTAGTCATTTAGCAGACGCTCTTATCCAGAGCGACTTACAGTTAATCTTTTACAGTAAACAAATTGACAATAAACTTTCAGCATGCTTATAGAGAAGGACATTCAACAAGCACAGCACTTACACAAATGACTGATGATTGGCTGAGAAAAATCGATGATAAAAAGATTGTAGGGGCTGCTTTGTTAGACTTCAGTGCAGCTTTTGACATTATTGATCATAGTCTGCTGCTGGAAAAACATATGTGATATAGCTTTACTCCACCTGCTATATTGTGGATACAGAGTTACCTGTCTAACAGAACACAGAGGGTGTTCTTTAATGGAAGCCTCTCCAACATAATCCAGGTAGAATCAGGAATTCCCCAGGGCAGCTCTCTAGGCCCATTACTTTATTCAATCTTTACTAATGACATGCAACTGGCTTTGAGTAAAGCCAGAGTGTCTATGTATGCAGATGACTCAACACTATACACGTCAGCTACTACAGGAACTGAAATGACAGCAACACTTAACAAAGAGCTGCAGTTAGTTTTTAGAGTGGGTGGCAAGGAATAAGTTAGTCCTAAATATTTATAAAACTAAAAGCATTGTATTTGGGACAAATCATTCACTAAACCCTAAACCTCAACTAAATCTTGTAATAAATAATGTGGAAATTGAGCAAGTCGAGGTGACTAAACTGCTTGGAGTAACCCTGGATTTTAAACTGTCATGGCCATAACATATTGATACAAAAGTAGCTAAGATGGGGAGAAGTATGTCCATAATAAAGCGCTGCTCTACCTTCTTAACAGCACTATCAACAAGGTAGGTCCTACAGGCCCTAGTTTTGTCACAACTGGACTACTGTTCAGTCGTGTGGTCAGGTGCCACAAAAAATGACTTTTTGCAATTGCAATTGGCTCAGAACAGGGCAGCACGGCTGGCCCTTGGATGTACACAGAGAGCTAATATTAATAATATGCATGCGATTTCTCCTGGCTCAAAGTGGAGGAGAGATTGACTTCATCACTACTTGTGTTTATGAGAGGTGTTGACATGTTGGGTGCACCGAGCTGTCTGTTTGAGCTACTGGCGCACAGCTCGGTCACCCATGTATACCCCACAAGACATGCCACCAGAGGTCTCTTCACAGTCCCCAAGTCCAGAACAGACTATGGGAGGCGCACAGTACTACATAAAGCCATGACGACATGGAACTCTATTCCACATCAAGTAACTGATGCAAGTAGTAAAATTAGATTTTAAAAAACGGACTAAAAAAAACACCTTATGGAACAGCGGGGACTGTGAAGCAATACAAACATAGGCGCAGACACATGCATACACACACACGATAACATACACACTATACACACACGTACACATGGATTTTTGTACTGTACATATGTGGTAGTGGTGGAGTAGGGGCCTGAGGGCACACAGTGTGTTGTGAAATCTGTGAATGTATTGTAATGTTTTTAAAATGTATGAACTGCCTTAATTTTGCTGGACCCCAGGAAGAGTAGCTGCTGCCTTGGCAGCAGCTAATGGGGATCCATAATAAATACTAATACAAAAATAATAATAAATAAATTATATATATATATATATATATATATATATATATATATATATATATATATATATATATATATATATATATATATATATATATATATATATATATATATATAAACGACTGGAAGGAATGTATTCACTCATACCTACATTATCCATGTGTTGGTAATATATCCTGTTGTTTACAGACAATAAAACAGACAACTCTCTCTCTGAAAGAGAGTGGAGGCTTAATACTAATGGCGTTTTTTTTTTAAAGAAACATTATAGTAATTGACATGCCAATTTCAGCTCTCATAGAGGTCATGGGAGGTCATAGGGGTCATGGAGGGGTCATGGAGGAGTCAGGAGCTAGCCTACCTGTGGCAGTGGATGATGAAAGTGCAGGTTTCCTCCCATAATGCTTTGAGGTCTTTGAGTCTGGCGTGGGTGATGTTCCTGGCCTCCTGGTCTCCGTTCTGCAGTAAGACCTCTGCGGCCACAAGCATTTTGTCCATCTTCACACGACCCTCGTGCTCCGACTGGTGGATTTTCTGACCACCAATAACACACAGGAGAGGCTTGATGAGATCATGAATTTTGGGCTGACAGATAATAATGTGATCAAGCATACAGAAGCTTCCCTCGAGGGAAACGAACCTGAGAGAATGGTGGAAGCAACTGAACAAAAAAGGAAAGTTGGAATTGGATTAATGTAGAGGCTGGCTCTGGTTTCACATACCAGGGTTCTACTGTATTACAGGGGTTAAAGGTGAGAGGTCGGTTGAGGACTGCCATAACCACAAACCATACTGGAAAGGACAATGTGAAAAGATGTATCCGAGCCTGCACACTATGGTTCAGGCTGGCTCAATGGTGTGAAACAGGTCTTTGACCCTAAGTCAGTGGTTAGGATTGGGTCTCACTCTGTCTCTCTGAGCCTGTGTCAGTAGTAGTTAGTGTCTGTAGTAGTTAGTGTCGGCAGTAGTTAGTAGTGTCAGTAGTTAGTAGTGTCAGTAGTTAGTTAGGGTTGAATCTCACCTCTGTCTCTCTGAGTCTGGCCTCCAGGGCGGCCCGGGGGCCCTGGGTGTTGTCGTTGACCCGGAGCCTCTCCTGGACGGCCTGCATCCAGGACAGAGCTGCCTCCAGTCTCTCCATAAACAGGATCTCCTGCTGCTCCTGATGGGTCATCTGGACACACCAGCCTGTGGAGAAGACGAGAGATACATTTAAAAACAGGCAATCTGGGATTCGAAAAACAACAACAGCCACCCCACCACTTGTTTTGGTAAACAGCTGCAGGAATGTAACCACTCAAATTCTGCCTCTGGTGGAGCACAGATAGGACAGGTATTTAAGGAAGTGTGTGTGTGCAGAGTCCATTAGTAAATAGAAAGCTTTTGTCAGGAGATCGACTGGAGACAGACTACCACCAACAACACAGAAGTATAGAAGTGATACTGCTGCATGTTGTTTTTCCACTTGTGTTGCAACCAACTCACTCACAGCTGTAAATTCTGGATGTAGATACTTGAGTAAAACTACACAACAACACTCGGTCTAGGCCTACTTCTTGACTCCCCGGTATCTTCAGAGCAATAGTTTACTAGGGAGGATATCTCACACAGCCTACATATCACAACTCGTCTGATCAAAGAAGACACCACAAAATAAATCCTTGAATGGGTGTAATCAACATACTTCAGTCAGTGCTAAACTGTTGAATCCGGCTATGAAGTATGAAGAAAGAAAAACTCACTAACTGTAAGTCGCTCTGGATAAGAGCGTCTGCTAAATGACTAAAATGTCAAATGAAGGAATGAGGGTGGTGCGTTAAAGCATACCTATGATCAATTAGCATACTAGTGGAGTGTGAACTTAACATCTACCTACCCCACCCAACAATGAAGTTGTAGTGTAATGAGGTGTTATCACTGTATTTGACATGATGGTTTGGCACAATGTCTCGCTGTATGTAGACCTTATGTCTGTGTGATTCAAAAAGACAGTACTTTCAATGTTTATACTACTCTCCCAAGGGTATAATATAATAGAATAGAATGCATTGTAGGCCTAGTCATAAAAATAAAATGTTAGGAAGGAAAGAAAGAAAGAAGGGCGGTTTGAAGGGCTCCGCAGGGAAGACAAAAAAATAGGCCAGAATGAGCAATTTTCCTGAGTGACTCATTTTGCCCCACCACAAAACTCCCCATAATATGCCCCAAGTAAGTCCTTCTGTGTACAGAGAATATTTTAATATGCTCTATGAATGCAGAATAACATGAACAAAAACATACAATAGTAATTGATGCGATATTTTAATGGATGAACTAAACTTACCGACGTTTCAAAGCCAATAATAATCAAGTCTAATAGACAAACTTAAAAGTGTATTTTGAGAGTTTACAAGTAGGCTACGCCCCTCTCCTCCTCGCGCCATCTACTGTTTGACAGCTCGCGCTTCGTAAACGTAAATAAACTCGCGACACGATAGATACATTTCACACACACTTCATCACCGATACATTGTATCGATCTCAGACGGCGTTATAAGTCTGTGTTGACTGAGACGATCTGCATTCGAAGTCCAAATAACTTTTATGGAAATAGTAGCATAACGACTGAAACATAAATCTATTTCGGACATTCGTAAACCTTTATAGCTATAACCCAAAGAGGTTTCAAATGTAAACGTTTGATATTGGGATATAACCTACAGAGCGATAGACATAATATTGTTAGGCCTACTGTTGTCGGACAACGTTATATTGTAACGATGGAGTCCATAACTTTGTTATGCTCTTTTCTGTACAAATATCCGTAACACAAACTGCCCTATCGATAACCGAAATAATAGTCTATATGAAATGAAGAACCGACTTACCGATACCTGTGCATCTGGTGAAAGTAGCAACTAGAGTGCCTGAACACAAATGAGCTGATATGTCCTGTAAACTTGTAGCATAACGCAGGCAGAGGCCTCTCTACTATAGCTGCATAGGCTGGCCGCCAGATTTAGCCAGAGGAGAGCAGCAAAGCCGCAATTGATAATCGTGGGGCGTGAGCGTCCTACGTCAACAATTCAAACTGAAAGGCTTGCCCTGGAGAGTAGGCATACTGGGCGCGTCCCTCTTCCCAGGCGTTGCTGACGCCTGCCATATTTTACAACGCCTGGATACGTATTTTAAGTATCAGCTAACAATATATGTTATAGCGATCTGTCAGTCGATGACACAGTCGATGACGTGGCACGCAACCATTGGTTGATGCATGCAACGTCTGAGCAGTGGAATGCGAACGCGACCAGTGTGTGTGTGTGTGGTGTGTGTGGGCTCCTGTAAATCGTGTATTGTCTCTGAACAGTTGTAGTTATTGCTTACACAATTGTCAGTTCAACATTATTTCAAACAGCAACATTTAGCATAAAACATTGAATCAATTTTTTATTACCACCAAATTATACAATAAATACATTATTTTATTTTCATCATCAACAATATCAACATGGAGTGATGCAGGAAAATAGATTCCCTTACTGACTCCTTCCCTATTCAAAATGGAATGGCTAAAGTAGTGTATGGTTTCACAAAACGTGTTCATGTTAACTGCTGTCTGGAAATAACCTACAGCTGCATTTATTTAAAGTAACTTTCTGTCCACAGTTTGACGCAAAAATATAGTTTACTGAAAGTTGTTGAATTCCAGTTCCTCACCTGACTAGTAAAGCCCCAAGTGGTCAAAATAGAATAGTTGAAAATTTACAATACTGTACATTTAAGAAGAGATCAATGCTTCTGTCCTAAATGGCACCCTATTCCCTACATAGTGCACTACTTTTTATCAGAGCCCTATGGGCCCTGGTCAAAATTAGTACACTATATAGTGAATAGGGTGCCATTTGGGACACACTCATTCTCAAGCCATGTGCTGTGGCTCTACAGTAGCTTGTTAAGGTATGACGGCTGATGGCATAGGACACCTCAGATGTTTTGAAATTCCACTAACCTTCATTCCACTAACCTTCATTCCACTAACCTTTATGACGTGCCACAGTTGCACAATATGACATTTGTTTTTAGATGTATATATATTGTAGGCCTACATTATTTTATACAAATGGCATGTATCCATACAATATGACCATATTATATTAAGAGAGGTATTTGAAAAAAGAAAATGCCTATCTAAACATGATTTCTCAGCTGCTTTACTTTATACAATAGGTTACACATGAGCCTGTAACTGAAGTTGTTTCCCGTTTGAAATGCTCTATGTTGTTGTTGTT